CAGACTCTGAGATGACAAAACGCTGAGCCATGCAGTATGTGCGCTTATAATTTGGATGGAGCCCACCTAATGGCCCTCTCCTGGGGCTGGACTAGCTAACTCCCCGCTAGGACTGAGCAGTGGTGCCTGCTTCTCCACTGCCTCGGTAACACTGCATTAACAGCACCTGTCATCCGTGTCAGTCTAGCAGAGGAATCTTACTTTTTGCTTCAACTGGTATTTCCCCAGCTAAGTGAGGGCTAGCATATTTTCACATGTGTGTTTACCATTTATTTCTCTTGTTCTGTAAATTGCCTGTTTTGAGGCCATTGCTTGTGTTTCTTTTGGGTTGTTAATAATTTTCCTGTTCACAAGAGCTTTCAAATACTAAGAAAACTTTTTTTTTTTAACCCTCTTTAAAATAAACTAGGGCCAGGGATTTAGCTCAGTGGCGTAAGTGCCTGCCTGGCAAGCACAAGGTTGTGAGTTCAATCTCTGGTATCAAAACAAAACAAACAAAAACTAAAAAGCATGACTTTTTAGGTCATAAGTATTACTGAGCTTTTCCCCCAGGTTGGAATTTACCTTTGATTTTGCATATAGTATTGGGTTGTATAGAAATTCTCACTTTTATTTTTTTAATATTTATTTATTTATTTATTGTCTTTTTTGAGACAGGGTCTTGCTATGCAGTTTAGGCCAGGCTTGAGCTCACTTTGTAAGTCAGGCTGGTCTCGAGTTTGCAATGATCCTCATACTCCAGCCTCCCAAGTGCCGGGATTACAGGTGTGCACATCACTTTTATATATAAAGGTAGTGTATATCATCTTTTCCCTTACTGTTTCAGAGTTTTGTGTTTTCTTTGAAAGGCTTATGCATGCCAAGATAAAATTTTGTAATGCTCATATGCTTTTTCAAATTTCTTTACTTTCCTTTAAAGAAAACAATCTATGTTTATTGTCCGAGGAATAAAAAAGTCAGCTTTGTGTCTTTTTCCCCAGTGACAATCCAGAAAGTCTCCCCAATTAGTGACTAACTCAGCGTGCTCTCACAGGTTTGAAATGCTTTCCCAGGCTTGAAATGATGCTTTTATATCTGGGACTTAGAAATATTCTGTGTGTTTGGGTCTTAAACTGGAATGGTGGGGTGTTTTTCTGTATCCTGTCCTGTTCAGTGTTCTTTTTTATTCCCATTGTTTCAATTTAGTCTGCTCTTCTCTCACTACTTTTTAGAATTTTCCTGGAAATTTTCATATGGTTATTTTTTCCACTGGAAACATAAAATAGTTTATCTACTTCACTGCAATTCCTTGAAAATCCTGTCGGATTTTTATTGGGATCACATTAAATTTATAGATTAATTCAGCAAAAATTATTATCTTTGTATATCTTTTCATTTAGCTTTGAATCTTTTTGTTTTGGTTTAGCTTTTTTTTTTTTTTAAGACGGGGTCTCACTATGTAGTTCAGGCTGGCCTCATCCTCAGGGCAGTCCTCCTGTCTCAGCCTGTCAAGTGCTGGCATTACAGGTATATACCATCAAGTCCTGCCATGTTTGAATCTTTTGAAAGTCATTTAGGATAATTAATTTTTTTAAATTAAGTCCTTTATATTCTTTGTTAAGTATTTTATCTTCTTTACATTTATTATTGTTGTGATGATGGGAAAGGAAAAATGGGATGTTTCCTTCCATTAAATTTACTAATTGATTATGGCTTACAGATAGGATAGTTATTTCTTTTTGTATTACTTTTGGAAGTTCTCTGTATTTTCTTTTTGTTTCTAATAGTCTTTTGGCTGATTATTTTGTTCCCGCTTATGAGTGACTTTTATTTTTAGAGATTAATTGGCCAAATTAGAGAAATGCCTTTCTCTTCTCTAATGTATGCCTCCACTATACCTAATAGACCCCATAGTTGCCTGTGGGGGAAAAGGAACCTGTGACTTTTGCTTGTGTGAGATATTAAACTGAAAGGAATGAAAACAAAATGTGGACCCTTCTTGCCACTATAATGAAAAGAATCACCTCACAAACTTTACAACAATGAGTAAATACCGGGGATGTTGTAGCAGAATCATCAAAAGAGGCTGCTTCTTGCCTCGGTCGGTTTAAAAGCAATCCGCTTACAAGGTCCTGAAGTGAGCAGATGGATACTTCAAATGTTAAACGGCAAAAACTTCTTAATCGCAAGTGGAGAAAAAGTTAACTTTGTGAACTTTAAGATAAATAATGTGACAACAATGGAAACCAAGGAAACAGTGCCACTTCAGCAAACGTGAGGCTAACATGAGAATGACCTTTATCTCATACTGCGCTCTTGGTAGCATCTAAACTCTAGTCTGCAGTGTCCCAGTGGATGGCCCTGTGGCTCCATCTAAACGCCAAAAACCCAGAACCTTAGCTCAGGGAGCAGGTGTAGAAAAGAGTCAAGGGGAAACCCAGCCCGAAGTCCTCAGACACTAGAGGTAAAATAGAAATTTTTCGACCTGAATCACAGACATAATGAAGAGGATAATGGATGAAGAAAAGTGACCTTTGACTAACGGGAAAAGGACAATCTAAACCACAGCCTAACCCTGCCTGATGGTGGTGACTTTCATGTCCCTGCCAAAAGCTTCCACCTGAGGCCAGGACACCTGAGCTGCTCCGGCAGCAGTCATGTTGGGCACAGTGGTGGGTCCTCGACGTGACACCCACCGAGTAAAAGCTGAGGTGGTCAGAAGAAGCCGTAGGGGAAGACTTCGCGTTCAGATGTGGGAAGGTGGGACACTCCAGAGGCTGAGGCTGGGTGCGTGTGGCTACACTATGAGGGTCTCCAAGAACCCTCAGGCCCCGGAGATTTCCCCGCAGTGTGGTCATCGTAATCAGGCTGCGTCTCTTGGTTCTGACTCTTGTTTTATAGAGAGAGACAGCAGAGTCTGAAATAAAAACTTGCAGCAACAGACACACATACATGTGTCACCTCATAAATACACCCTCAGAGGCAGGACAGACACCAGCGTGGGCTGGATTTAAAGGGACCTAGGGTACAATTCAAGGTAGGCAAGCCTCCCCTGCTCATGTGTTAGGAGGATGCTGTTCTTTGTCACTGAATTGTGATTATTTAATCTCACTTTTTTTTACTAGTAACTATTGTTATAATTCTCACTGTATTTGAATTTTTTTGAGTATTTATTGTGCACCAGGAATTGTTTTTGAGCTCTTTATCTGCATTATAGCCCTTTACCTGCATTATGGCTCTGTTCCTTATCTGTAGATAAGGAGTCTAAGGGGGACTGAGTCCATTTTTGGGGTCAGCATTATGAACTAGAGAGCTGAGATTCAAACCCTGTCCTTCTGACCACAGACTTATTGAACTCACGTCACTTTCCATTTCTAATTCCTCTTTGAGGAGGAGGAGGCATTGAGACAAAATCTCACTATGTAGTTCAGGCTGACCTATGGACTTACTATGTAGTCTAGGTTGGCCTTGAATGCAGGGTGAGCCTCCTGTCTCAGCCTCCCGAGGGCTGGAATTGCAGTCATGTGCCAACACGCCTACCTTTGTTTTCATTTTTAACATTAAACATAAATTTTAGCAGTTTGCTAGACTACTTGCACAAAAAAAGATTTTATCCTTTTAGATTTGTTTCATTTGTTTCCTTGCTCTAAAATATTATATAAGAATCTAAATCAAATAGAGAAATTGAGTGACCATAGATGTCCAAGCTTAAAATAATAAAAGGGAGAACCTAAATTTCAAAGAAATCATAGGGGCCATGTAGGAAGCAAGGGGACAACAAATTAACACTTTGACTGTTGATTACAGTTGATACAGACTGACTGTCCATTCATTCCTTTTATTTATTTAATGATATGCATGAGCTTGAATCACATTACTGTGCACTGGAAGACATCCCAAGCCCAGTTCAAATAAAACTCAAGCATCATTCAGAGAGGTCGCTGCAGCTTCTTCTCAGTTTCCTGAGATGCTAAAAGAAGCATCTCCCCCAGCTGCCAGATCTACATCTTTCTTATCCTTGGTAAAGTTAAAACAGCTATACCAACTAGCTGATTGCTGTACAATCGTCCAAGTAAATTACAAGCTTATTCATTTTTGGTGCCAATCGCCTGTTTGCCACTGAAAGAAATCCCTCAACTAGTAGGGGTAAAAGATGCAGGACAGAAAGGCAGCATTGCTGGAGGAAAAGGTGAGAGCATGAAAGTGACAGGAACCAGTGAGGTAAGTAGGTTGAACAAAAACTGAATTAGGGGGCAGAGTGAAAGGAGCTCAGGTGGTGAGGCGGGGGAAGAGGAGGTGCACTGGTCTGTGAAGCCCTCAGCCAGGACCTAGAAACAGCGACCTGCGACCTGCAAGTCAGCCCCACGCAAAGACCTCAGCCTGCCCAAGTCAAGAGTCAAAGCCCTCTCCAGAAATGTTTGGAACTTGTGACAACTCAACCAGTATGATGACTTGTCCCAGATTGGTGCATCTGAGATTGCACGGTTTACAGATTCATGGGATACCATGAATGCTAGGAATTTCAAAATAGAACTTTAATGATGCTTAGAAACGAGGATTAAGGTATTGCGCCACAGAGACCTCTTTCTCCCAAATGTGGCTGGGGTGCTGCTCTGCTGCCCTCTAAAAGATTGAGATTACGCGTGGTTCTAATCCCATAGGGTAACAGGCTTCCCAAAACACTTAACCCTTCTGAGTGCCCGCCAAAGCCTGTCACCCTTCTGCTCTCAGTGGCTGTTGAAGGATGGAGTTCTCTCTGGCTGCCTCCTCTCAGAGCAGGTGGTTCCGGGATTCCAACACCCAGTTCATCTATTCCATGGGCCCATTCTCTGCCACAAAACTTCAGTGTACTGGTAGGGGGGCCTGTTCTTACCTCACCCTGCAGTCCTCACACTCTGCACACGTGCTCACACACACACACACACACACACACACACACACACACACACACAGCTGCGGGGGTCTAGAGGTGTACGGGTGAGTGTGGGAGCAAGAGAGTGAAGGAGAGTCAGAACACTCACCAAGTGCAGGGTGTCAGCTTTCTGAGTCTGTCTCTGTCGGCTTTTCTGAGCAGCAATGCGATTTTTCTCTCTTCTCTGAACTTTTCTCACGTCATCAGATGAGTCCTGGGAAGCAGAGATGAGAATTAGGCAAGTCTGCTTCTTTCTTCTGCATTCAAGCAAGCTATCATGGCATTTAGTACCCACCCATCCACCCACCTATCCATCCACCCACCTATCCATCCACCCACCTATCCATCCACCCACAGACCCATCCCCCCACCCACCATCCCCCCACCCACCATCCACCCACCCACCATCCACCCACACACCCACCCACTGTCCACCCACATAACCATCCATCCACCCACCCATCCACCCATCCTTCCATTTGTCCATTCATCTTTCCATGTCTTTATCTCTCCATGTATGCATCAATCTCCTTATTTACCAAGCCCTGCATACTCTGTTATGCATCCTCAAGTGCCTCTATGCCTTTTTTGCCAAAAGCTGCAGAGAGAAGAGATCTTGAGGTCTCAACAGAGCTTTTTTCCCCCCCAAAAATGGTTAAAGGCAATGAAGTGGGTTTCATCATCTCTTCTCTTTTTTAAGACTATTCTACTCTCACTCTCTCATTTTTTTAGCCTAGAACTTCTTGTGCTCTTTTATCCCCCCCCCCCAACCTTTGTTAAGCACCTACTATGCACTAGCTTCTGCTCAAACACTTTAGAGGTGCTCTTGTTTAATCCTGCAGTTCTGTGAGATGTGTATCATTATTTCCATTTTCCAGTGGAGGAGCCTGGGGCTATAAGAGTTGCCCACAAGCACACAGTAGCCCAGAAGTGCTGTGTCTGCTGGGAAGACGATGAAGCCTTTCCAAGATGCCCTCACCACTGCCGCCCCACTACTTTGTACACTAGGCAGGCCTGCCGCTGCTACGTCTTTGGACTGAGGGCATCACCTGAGGTCTGTTTCTTCTTTTCTTTCATTGCCTTTACTGTACTCTGTGAGCATGACCTTCTCATGGCTCTGAGCACAAAGAACGAGATGCCAAGGAGCACGTTACAATGGAGTTACTGCTGCAGCTTATCATTATGGGGTTGGGGAGGATAAAGAGACATTTGGATGTCCTCTAACTACACCTGTTGGTGGGATTGTCCTCTGCTTGGCCAGAGATGTTAGCTGCAGCTTTCTCTAGATGCTGTCAGTTAGCAGAGGCATCTGAAAGAATTAACTCTGCAGTTCCTGCACATTCTGCAGGCTGCAGGGGTACACATCCTTCAGGCAATACTCTACGGTCCCCATTTGTGACCCATACTCCCGATCATTGCAACAAGAGGATATTGGGTTAACTGGGAAGGAAGTGCTCTTCCTCTAAGGGGTACAGGGGACCAGGTTACCATGGAAGCCATGAGTAATTTCCTTCCTAAGAAGAGTACAGTTTAGACTTCTAGGCAGTCTGAGCCACTTTGATACCATATTGAGCAGAGGATTGTTGTCTCCAGTGGGCCTTTGTCCAACCTGCTGTTCTTCTGTTAAGTGATTTTGATAGGTGCTATATCAGATGCTAGTATACTTGTATTTTAGCTGCAGTATTTTGAAATTTCCCGGATATCTGTACTAAGAAGAGAATGCAGGCTTTAAACCGCAGAAAAGGTTTGAATCCATGAATACATGGTGGATGCCAAGGAAGAGGCCTTCCCATAGTGAGGGAGGTCAGGAATGTGGTAAAGAGAAAGAAGGCCCCACCCAGGCATAGAGGTGCATGCCTATAATTCCAGCTACCTGGGAGGCTGATGCAGGAAGATTGCGAGTTCGAATCCAGAGAGAGAGAGAGAGAGAGAGAGAGAGAGAGAGAGAGAGAGGACAGAGACAGAGAGAGACAGAGAGACAGAGACAGAGAGAGAGACAGAGAGAGAGAATCAGAGAAACAGACAGACAGACAGAGAGGCTCAGAAGCTATTACTGGATAGGGTACCTCATTTTTTGAAGACCTTCCAGCTGAAAACTTGGGTTTGGAAGTTAATTTAGAATCCAACAGTCTCAGAAACCCTAACTCCCTTTCCCTTTCTACAGAGATAAGCAACCTGGGCCTCAGTGGCAGGGGTGTGGGGAGAGCGGTCACTGGGAAATGTCTCCAAGTCTCCAGGGCCGCTTTTCGTTTCTTTCCTCCTGTCCAGAAGCCACAGAGAAGGAGGTGCGGGCAGGCTCCAGCATCCCTCTCTGCCCCCTAGCTGTGCTAGCAACAGAGGCAGCGCCGGGGCACAGAGAGCCTCCCATGCTGGCTCCCGCCTCCTTCTGATCTTCTGACTCTTTCCTCTCTTTCTCTTGGCAGCTGTAGTTACACGTCCAGGGCTGGGCTCAGGTGCACCAGCAGCTCACTAAAATCTCCCGTGCTGGAACCCGGGGCACTTTTCCCTCTGAGTTCTTTGATATTCATCCTCCTCTTTGCTCCCTAGAAAGCTCCGTGCTGCAACTCGGAGGTGGTCATGGGGCGTTGGGGACGGAGAGAGAAAGGGGCTCCAGTGGGCTAGAGGGATGCGGTCTCTCTGCAGCGCACTGCTGGACTGCAGAGGCCGGGTCTGGGGGCTAATGGGGTGCTCATGCCGAGCCACTTCCTCCCTCGGTGGCTCCTGGGGCAGCACCGAGAAAGCCTGACCCATTCCTGCGCCTGGGAGACTCTGGGGTGGCATTTAGGGGCAGGGAGAGCCTACCTGCTTGCCAGGGGGAGGAGAGCGACTGAAGCTAGAGTCGCTGCTGTCCGAGTTGTGCGGCATGGCTGGTCTTTCCGGGGTGCTCTGGGGTCAGCAGCTGGCCTCCTTCCTAACTGCCCAGGCCACCAGCCCTGCACCTCTCACAGGTGCCTCCCCTGCGCGCCCCGCGGCCACCTCTGACCCCTGCGTCCTCCTCGCTCTGGGGTACAGAGGGACTGCTCCCCACAGGGACATCTCGCTTGCTTTGGGGCTTGCGCGCGCACTCTCTCTTGTGGTTTCTGGTAATTCATGCTGGAAGTCACATGGGCGGAAACTTCAACAACTTAGAAGGTAGTTTGAGAGAAAATATATCTGGGAAAAGACCCACTGAATTATGTGAAAGAAAAAAAAAATATACAAAACCCCAAATACCTTTCGACAGTTTGAAAGCCAGAGCAGCTCTCTTCAGTGATGAAGATCAAAGAGAAAAACAGCCTGAGCAGGGAAAAACCCCAGCCAGAATTAGCAAGTCGGTCTTCTGTCAACATGGCAGAGAGGGGAGGACAACCGGGAAAGAGTTTCCACTGTCACACGACTTGCTTTTTAAACCAAAATAAAGCCACCAGCTTGGGATTTCTTTTTGGTTTTCAACCGAAAGCACCTGCCAGTGTTGATTGAGGTAGGTTAGACTTTCCCTCCCTGACAGTCCAGCTAGCTTTGGGAGGCTTTGGGGACGATGTGGCCCCTGGGCCCTGTCTCCCCCGCCCCACCGTCAAACACAAGGGGCTGGAGACACCTGAGAGCCTAGGGATGCTCTGGAATTGACACCCTGGTGGCTTGTCCCCTGCCTGACCTTCTTGGCAGGCTGCTTACACTTCATAGAGAAAGAAGGCTTTCCTTAAGAGAACGCTTCAGGAGCCCAAGGCGGATCCTGAACCTGTAAAGACCACCAAGTCAGAATCCAGAAAGGAGAAAGAGTGGGAAATGGGACAGATTTGGAGTCTGATCGATTGTGATTTGAATTCTGGCTCTGCCACTTTGTGTGTCTCTGACCCACTGCTTTATCTCCCTCTGCAGAGGGAAGATAGGCAAGCCTACCCTCTGCCTCTCCACGCTGTCACCAAACGGAGCGCTATCAGGGATTGGAACCCCCCTAGTGAATTACTAGGATGCTAGCAAGACGGTAGCAGATTGCTAGCCTTGTCTGAACACATTCACAGAGTTTCCAGAGTCTCAACTGCTCAGGTGGCTCTTTTAGAAAAGTATGGTGAAAAATCAAATGCTCATCTGGCTTAATTTTAGGGTTGGCAGGATGTAATGGCCCCTAAAACACTTTAGTATCTTTTGTTAAATTTCCACCCCAGGACAGTAGCCTCCTAATGGAAACTGACCAAAGCAACCTTCCTTCCCTCCTGAAATTTATCATTTATCAGATGAGGCAGGCAATAAACAAAGAAGTTAATACAGAATAGATCAGAGTGGCTGAAAGTGAAGTCTGGTGGGGGGGAGGGAGCTCCAGGGCGGAGGTGGTCAGGGAGGCCCTGATGGAAAGTGGCATCTGAGCAGAGACCTGAGGGAGGGAAGGACACGGGTCGTCCAGGGGAAGAACATGCAGTCCAGTCAGGGGCGTCAGCAAGCAGGTGAGGTGGGGCTGCAGCACGGAGGAGCCCCATGGGGAGGTCAGTGCTGTGAGACAGGGAGGCCTCGGTGACCAGGTCGGGGAGTCCTGTAAGCCTGGAGGCCACCTCGACGTTAGCAATCATTCTGAAACAAACCCCCTAAAGCCAGCAGAAGGTTCCCGCTCACCTCCACGCCTGTTCTCTACCTTGGCTACTATCACATTATACTAGTTATTTTCTTGTTTTTTCCTGGTTCCTCCACTGGAATGTTAACTCTACTTGCGAATTTCTCAATTACTCCACCAGACTGTCACTGAACACCTACTGTTTGCCAGACAATGCTCTAAATTAGTGGTGGTGAGACAAAAGATGTTATTATATGAATTGTTTTTCCTAAATTAAAACTTCACTATTCGGGTTTAATTGCCATGTTGGCAATTTTGCCATACGTGCATGATGAATAAGTGGGTTTTGGGTTGCAGTTTGGGTACTCATCTCTAAAAGGTTTGCCAGTGCTGCTCTAAGTACTGCAGTTAGTCAGCAAAATATTTGTCCTGTTCTCTGAAGAAGTTGGTGTATCAGCGTACACTGACTAATAAAACAAGAAAAATCTTGATGGCTTAAAACAAGTATGTTTTCAGCTCATGAGTCTGTGGGTCATCCAGAAGGTTCCAGAAGGTTCCAGAAGGTTCCAAAAGGGTAGGTTAGGCTTAATCTCAGCTAGACTCCTCAGACAGCCGATAGTTGGGTGGTAGCCGACTGGGTGGGAGGGCTTTTCCTGCCTGAGTTTGTTCTTCACATGTTCTCTGATCCCCATTAGGGAGGCCTGCGTTGTTTACATGGCAGGTACAGGATTCTAAAGGTAAGAACAGAAGCATCCAGAGCTTCCTAAGACCACTCTTTTTCTATGCACTACTTTCCATGGGCCACAGGCACAAGAGTGACCCAAACCCAGTAAAAATAAATTCTATCTCTTGATGGGGGAAACTTAAGAAATAATGGCCACATCTATTCTCTCCTCCAAGTGAGAAATATAAAAGCGAAAGAGTGACACACTCTAAGTCCTCATAGGATCTCTCTGGACATAATTGAGACTTTTACTGTGTAGGAAAAGTGGAAGTGGAGAGACCAGCTAGGATTCCAGCATTGGATTATCATCATCACCCAAGCAAAAGAGACGGGTGGCTTAGTCAGAGAGGTGGTGACCAAGGGGGTAAGCAGTAGGCTCTGTCCAAACCAAAGACTGTCTCCCTTGTTTGGTCACGTGCCCAGTAGGTGCTTAACAAGAGTCATCAAGGAAGTAAATGTCAGAATAAAGTCCCATACAACTGTGCTTGTAATTTATGGCACTTAGGACCTGCATTGTCTTATATCTTCCCTAAGTACATCAAAAGTGCTTTAAGGACAATAATGGTCATTTTGTGTTTTATTCCACTTCAATTAACGTTTGTCGCCTGCTATGTAGTGGAAATCATAAATATGAATAAGATAGAGGCCCTGCTTTCCTTTAAAAAGGGAAAATAGTCAAACACCCAAACAGCTTCTTAAAGTTTTAAAATATGCAAGTGAGATTTTGAACTCTTTGGACATTCTAGCATTCAATACATGAATGAATGATTGCTTGGTTCTGTGATGTTCAATCAATATACTCAGTTAATATTTTTTCAAATCCATTTTATTTCAAAGAGAAAAAGAAAAAAAAACCTAAAAAAAATTTTTTTTATAGAATATCTCTCTCTTTTTTTTTTTTTGTCTTTTTCCTTTTTTTTTTTATTGGTACCGGGGATCGCACTCATGACTGTCTGCTTGCAAGGCAGGCGCTTATGCCGCTGAGCTAAATCCCCAGCCTCTAAAAAACTAAAAATTTCAAAGCATGTCAATCAGTGGGCATCAATAGTACATACACTGCACATTGTCATCCCCAAATCATTCACCCAGAGCACAAGACACCTGCCTTCAGTTGTCCAAACAATACCAGCACAAATCTTTCTCTTTAGCAAACTCAGAGAAATCAATAGTATAACCATCTTAAACACACACACACACACACACACACACACACACACACACACAAACACGCTGTTTGTTTCAGCTTCTCATACTAGTGAGGCAAACAATGTTTCTATGTGCGTCTTATTTATTTCACTCATGAGTATGGTCTTAAGATGCATGCATTTATCTATAAAAATCTCCAGTTTGTCCTTCTGTATGGCTAAATAATACTCCATTGTATAAAAATACCACATCTTTTTTATCCATTCCTCAGTTAATGGGCATTTAAGTTGTTTCCAAGACCTAGCTATTACAAATTGTGCTGCTATAAACATGGGTGCACATATATTGCTGTGCTGTGATGTTTTTAATTCTTTTGGGAAAGATACCCAGAAGTAGAATAGCTTGGTTGAATGGGACCTCTAGTCCAAGTTTTCTGAGGAATCTCCACACTGATTTCCACAGTGACTGCACCACTCTGCATTCCCACCAACAGTGAGAAGGATTCCTTTTTTCCCACAGCCCCTCTAGTATTTATTTTTGCATGATTTCTTGATATTAGCCATTCTTTCTGGGGTGAGGTGGCATTTCAATGTCCGAATTTGCCAGTGATGTTGAACATTTTTTCACATATTTGCTGTTTGTAGTTCTTCATCTGAGAAGTACGTATTGATCTCAGATGCCAATTTTAGATTGGGTCTTTAAATCTGGGAATACAGATTTTTTTTTTTTAGTTCTTTATATGTTCTCAATCGTAATCCTTTATCTGAGGAACAGCTGGCAAATATTTTCTCCCACATTGTGGGTTGTCTCTTCACTCGGTGGGTGGTTTCTCTTGCTGTGCAAAAGCTTTCCAGTAGGGTGAGATCTTTGTGATTTGTTGATTCTTTGTGATAGTTCCTGTGCAATTGGAGTTTTGTTCGTAAAGTCTTTGCCTACACTAGTGTGTTCAAGAGTTTTACCTACTCTGTCTTCCAGCAGATTTAATGTTTCTGTTTTAATGTAAAGATCTTTGACCTATTCCAAATTTAGCTTAGTGCATGGTGAAAGATATGGGTTCATTTTTAATCTTTGGCATGTTTAGAGCCAGTTTTTCCAGCACCATTCATTAAAGAGGCTATCCTTCTTCCAGTGAATGTGTTTGGCACCTTTGTCAAAGATAAGGTGGCTTAGTGTGTCTGGAGTTGTTTCTGTATCTTCTAATCTGTTTCATTGATCTTCAGGTCTGGTTTTATTTTATTTTATTTTATTTTTTGCCAGTACCACACTGTTTTTATCACAGTAGCTTTATAGTATAATTTCAAGTCAAGGATTGTGATGCCCCCTGTCTTGTCTTTGTTGTCCAGGATTGCCTTTGCTATTCAAGGTCTTTTCTAGCTCCAGATGAATTTTAGGATTGTTTACTCTAATTCTGTGAGATATGCTATTAGTTAATATTTAACAAAGACTAAAGAGGCAAGATGTACAAAATGATTTCTTACATAAGAAGATAGGTCCAATTCAGTAGTATTACTAATAAATTGTTCTTCCATGTTTAAGGTTAAAAGTTAATACACATTTTGTCATCCAGTGCTAAGCTTAAGACACTCAGAGTGGTCTTTGTATATTCCTTCCAAATCCGTCCTCTTCTCACCCCATGCAACCCATTACTAAAATGTAGTTTCGGTCATTCCCAAGCA